AAACTAGAAGACATACAGAATCAAACTTAGCATCAAAATATGTCTTTCTGTCTATTAAACTACCATACCAAATTTTAACTTGATTGGGCAACCATAAAAAAAGTTATTAGAAAAAAACAGAAAATTTGTGGACGGAAGAGTGACAGACGGACGGACAGACAGACAGACGGACGGACAGACAGAGTGATTACTATAGGGCACCCGCAAATCCTTGCGGGGCCCTAATAACTAAATCATGTTTTAAATATTAAGGTTATTTAATAGAAGATCATCCTTTTCCTTAACTTTTATGTAGAGAAAAGTATAAGATAATCATTTGTGTTCTAAGAAAAGGTTTTGAATATGAAATCTTTACCATCAGTCTGTTATACTGGGGACTTACTGGAATCAACAAGTCTACTACCCCCCCCCCCTCCTTTTTTTTATTTCCACATTTCAATTAACAGTATACTGGTACATTTATATAATCATTGCGGATTTTATTAAGCATTCACTCACTGATTCTTTCACCTCACTCAACTCACTAAAACATTCTCTGAATAAACAAAAAACTTTTTTATCGCAAATCTCGCTTGAAAGCATTACACTGCGGCCGAAATAGCATTGCCTCGAGTATTGATACTATTGGATTTGACAATTGAACAATTTGAATCACGGATTGCATTCTATAAAACAAGCGCTTTAATTGGTTGATTTGGACCCGCCCACTCTCGTGCAGCATCATTTGCCTGCATCCAACGGCCTTGTGATGGTCGAAATCTGAGATGGTGACTTTTTGAGAAAAAAAAACAACAAAGACTTACTATGAAATCACTTTATAGCATGTGACATATACCTATCGCAGATTGTACATGTATATCGTTTGATGACAAACACTAATTTCATTTTATTCTACATGTAATTCTGCCGATTTTCTATTCACGGCATTTTCAATTTTTGTTGGTGCAAATTGAAAACACGTACATTCGTAGAAAACATATCCAGCTATATATAATACCGGAGCACCCGTTGAAAAAAAAAATAAATTCATATGTGGTAAAACATCGGATTAAATTAAAAGTTAACTGTTTTGTTGTCTCGAGATTCAAAAATACCATGTTTCAATTGTGTGTGTGCACTGCATACCTATTTTAATAGTCGTCATGGCAATATTTAAACTTGCGATCTGTAAAAAAAAAAAAAAAACGAAATCCTTGTGCAGTGCACTTTTTACTGTAATGGCGAATATAATTTGTATGTTCACTATAAAATAATTAATATCACTTACATATACCAAAACTAAGTACGTTTAATTTTATTGATCATGGTGATACATGTACTGAAGAAAAAACGGGGAAAACAGCCGTGTTTTTCAATCGCAAAAATATGCCCCTGGTAACGTGTATCATTTTAAAGCCAGTCCTGGGAAAGATATTATTTGAAGATCATTAAAGGTTACCCACACTCACATTAATTTAATAAAATATTGTCCTCTGCATACTTCGCTCAGTAAAAGGAGCCTACCACTTGTTTACAAGTTTTCAACAGCTGTTCTTTCTTGGAAACATTCCATGAGAAAGTGGGCGGGCTTATAAAAAAGCACCAATCGGATTCTTTCTTGCATTGTATATATGTAGTTTGAATATAGCCGAGCTGAATTGTAAAACTGTTAAATCCAAATGTGTCGTAACCCAACGCAATGCTGATAAAGTCAAAGTGTATACTTTTGAGCGAGATTTGCGATAAATCACATTGGGAGGATTTTTATACGTTAGTTCAGAGCTAACAGAAACAGCATTATTACATCTAAAGTAATTCCTATTGGTATTCCTATTGTTACACTTGATCAAGTAAAGCTCTCTTTTTATGTAATTCCTGACTCAATGCTATATTGGCAAATTTTATTGCATTGGTTAATTATTCATAAATAATTATACATCAACATAATCAGGATAATGTACCTGATAATCTGTTTATTTATATTTTTTATACAATCAACATTTTGTTTAAAATATCTCAATCAAAAGTAAACATGGTAAAAAAAATACAAACAATAAAGACTCTATTGATGACATGTCCAGACCCTCATCAATATTCATTATTATACCTCTATTGATAATACTCGAATTTGATTGGCTGGTAAGAAAACTTTAAAACACAACAATGACTCCAAATGGTACTGTTTACAGCAACTGACCTAGGAATCATCGCACGTGGGATAAAATGACCCGGTCATTATTTTTAATGACCGCTAGAAATGACCGCTTAATTAAAAATTCGTTTTTGAGTGAAGGTAATGCATAAAATAATAATTATTCGAAAAAAAACAACATGTTTTTAAAAATTGTGCATGGTCTGTTTTGCATTACCATACAGAATACGGTAAAATTTTATCGTAACAATATATCGTTTCAACAGTTCGAACAATATCGTTACAATTCAGTTCAATAGAATGTAAAGGCGGCTCTTTAAAGAGTTGAATTCTGTGTTACATTTTGATTGTGCAGAGGAAAAGTAATCGTGAGTTATAACATTGTTTGTCGCTATCAAACAGATATTGTTTTAATCAGTAAATCATGATGCAAAAACTTACACGACTTGCAGACGTCAATGTAAACAACTTCACTCTACGGTCTGTAGCGAATCCCAATCCCGATCAAAGGCATCGTCGAATCAACGGAAGAATTTATAACGGTTAGAGATTCATATTTTTCAATATATATCGAGGCTCATATATCGGTATAATAAAACAATTAATTACCCCTTGTGAGTTCAACATGGTGAAAAAAGGACCCTCGACCTGGCCCACTCGGTGACCTGCCCTGACCTCGGCCGCTACGCGGCCTCGGTCAGGACAGGTCACCTCGTGGGCCAGGTCTCGGGTCCTTATTTCACCATGTTGACCTCACAAGGGGTAATTAATTGTATAATATTCACCTTGTTTTATTTATTACTTTGTTTTAACAATTAATTAATACACAGTAAATAAACTCACCAGTCAGATCGTCCCCTTCATTGATAAGTCTGTAAGTGTTTACTGTGTTGTTGTTCAATGATCCAACCCAGAGAAGCCGTGTATCACAATCATAACTCAGGCCCCATGGTCTGTCTATCCCGTGTTGTTTGGTCTCTATCTGTGTCAGAAAGAGACCATCCTGGTCAATGATATGTACTGTGTGGGTGTTATTATCACACAGCAGGATGTGTGACAGCGCGTCAGTACAGATTCCACATGGATGTAGTCGTGATCCTGATGGAGGACCTGTGTAGGTGAACCGATGTCTTCCTCTACTGTCTGTCACCACTACAGCATCATGGCCCCAGTCAGACACAATAACATCTCCATTGCGGTTCTCTGTGATGTAGATAGGCCAGCAATACAGTCTCTGACCTGCGTTGCCGTGCTGTATGGTCTGTATGTGTTCTCCTGTGTTAGTGTAACGGTTTACCTGGCCTGTATCTGTATCAGTATTATACATCCCGACCAGCAGGTCTCCAGTGGAGGGGGAGCTGTAGACACACAGTGGTTCCCATGTTGATGTGTCTGGTATCACGGTGGTCTTTACTTTATCTGTAGATCGTTTTATGATGTTACCGTCACTGTCTGTATAAATCACATCACCATTTTGAGTCACTGTATGTACTCCATAAAAATATTTAGGTAAATCCGTCACACTATCTAGAATGTCACCTCTCGTGTTAGTTAAGATGAGATTGCCTTGGTTATCACTGATCCAGACCCGGTCTGATGTCACGTGGGTAATGTGAAGACACTCCCTAACCCCAGACACTGTAACAGAGTTCTGTAACACCAATCTATACATGACTGACAGTGTATATTTCTTACTCGTCTTTTCCTGTGGTTTCAGAATCCCATGTTGATTTCTTTCAGTCAGGGAGATTTCTTCTGTAAATTACATCATGCAATCTTAATAATAGGTCCATCTTCATGTTCTGTGTAATGAATCTCTCTAATTCATGAAACTGACTGTTTAGTTCTCTTACAGATTCCTTTGAAATATTTTGTAAACAATCCTTTATATCATAATAATATTGTTTCCTTTTGAATTATTTAGGTCATTACAATTATGTCATTTTAAATCATAGACAAACATCATGTTATACATTTACCTGTACACACATGTAGAATCCTTAGGTTATACCGACTGTAGGCAAGGTGATGTGGAGGCCTCTATATAAATGGACAGAAATCTGCTGACAACAATATTTTACATTGTATCATCACGTATATGTATCAGAATTAATATTTTAATGCTGTCATATTATTTAAATGAATTAAAAATCTCACACCTGTTTAAACACATTCAATAAACCAAAATTTCACTGTGTGTAATTTTCTATAATTATTTCTGTCAAATAATTAAAGATATTAATATAATAACACATTATACAGTACATGTATATAACATTCATGTAACATATAAAGCAACATGATAAAGATGTTTACTATACTGATTTCCTTTGGTGTCCAGTGCATATAGCATATTTGTCTTTGTGTCAATGGTAAGTGTTCTGTAAAGAGATAAAAGGTCATTGTTATACCTTTGAAAATTTGTTCATATACAAATCTATACAGAAAAAAGTCGAACATTTTTTAATGTTTTGCTGAGCGGGCATAAAAAAATCGATGTTGGACCGCTGAGTGAGATGTTGGACCGCTCGGAGAGATGTTCGACCGCTCGGAGAGATGTTGGACCGCTTACGTCACAGAATGGGCGGAGCTTAATCTCATTTTCATTCTTTGGTTTTAAAAAGTGACAGATCTAATGTTACATTACGTAATATAGTACAAAATACATGCATGTCAAAATATATATAATAAAATGAAAGGTATAACAAAACATTTTTTGACAGAGTTTGAGGGCAAAATGCGTTTTGGTATCCCAAAGAATATTGCGTTGAGTAAAAAATGGTGTATAGATTTTGAAACATGTATTAACACATGTAAAATGACAATAATTATTTTAATGAAATGGAGTCCTCTATATAAACAGTGTCAAACATTGTTCATGGTTTAAAAAACATTGGATAAAAAGAATCTCACATGATTTGAAGTTGGATATGATTTTTATGTGATATCGTTTTCGTATCGACACTATGTACTCCAACGCCGTGTGATGTAATGTAAAATTTAATAAACAAATACATGTATATGATGGAGAGAATGACTTACTTTGTCAAATTTCACTTTATTTGATATATCTTAAGTTTTCATTCATAAATTAAAAAAAATAAGCGCTGAAATATTTTCTTTCATTTTTGTATGAACTATTTCATACAGCCATATATTATTTATTACATAATTTGGTGCAAGGTAACCGAAAAGGAACTTTGAATTAGAAAAAAAAAGACAGAATACACATTTATAGTGAACAAAAATATGTGATAAAAAGAATCTACCACCACAAACCATGGAAGATCCTATTTATAATTATTTCAACTTTTTTTTTCATTTAAGGCTTAAGAATATTTTTCATTTGACAGACTCAATCGCAATAAAATATGTGTGGCTGCTTTTTTGTGTATTTATGAACTTTTTAATCTACTCACGTGCCAAGTTATATTCAAATCAGATCAAAACTGTAGGAAGATTGTATTTTGGAAATATTTCAAAGAAATTTCTATTTTTCTATTTTTAGTAACCATGGCAGCACAGTTCTTGGAAATTAAAAAAAAAAAACAGACGGACACCTTACAAAATTTGATCAAACAAGAAGCCCATGGGCCTCAACACTCACCTGAGTACATCTTGCCATTGCTCTTCTTTACCAGATGCCCCCCTCTTGTAATACCTATCGTGACCTCATCCTACCCCAAGGTGTCTTGATTTAAACAATTTAGAATCTCACTACCTAAGGATGCTTTCACATCAGTTTCAGCTTTTTTAGCCCAATGATTCTTGAGAAGAAGATTCAATGTAAAATTGTATTGCCTATTACCGCCCCTCCCCCTCCCCAATCCCAAAGGTTCATGGTTTGTACAATTTAAAATTTACACTACCCAAAGTCGAAAGATACGTCCATACAAGTTTCAGCATTTCAGGCCCTGTAGTTCTTGAGAAGAAGATTTTAAAGATTTTTCCTATATATTTCAATATAAAACTTAGATTTCCTATTGTGGCACTGCTCTACCCCCAAGGGTCATGGTTTGTACAATTACTAGGGTTGTCCCGTAAAATCGTGGACAAGTTGTCTTGTTTGAAAAATAATTATCCCTGCATTCTGAAATTTTCACCACTTTTTAGTGGATAAATTATGAATATACACAGCAAATTTCAAATTGATATAAGCATAGGTAAACAAATTGTGATATTTTATGTTATATACTGTATCGCCCTACGGCGCACGGATGATAACGTCAAAGTGTCTAAAACAGTTTCACGTTTCATCTTTGCTAAGCTTAAAGTTGGATACGCCCCACTTAAATTTAGAAATTTTATTGATTTACATATGTGAGTATCTATAACCAGTTAAGAAATCAATGTGGCACACTCATGCGATCTTCTGAATATTTATTAGCAAGTTACAGACAGTATTCTCAAAATCATTCAACTAAAAGAGAATCTCACATCGACGGTCGACAGTGACAGCGTCCTTTGCTATTACAAATGGCAGTCTGTCCATATGTTTTGTACTATCTGGGGACTCGACCACGAAGACTTCACTAAGAAAACTTTCATTTCCTTTATATACTAAAGATCTGGTGATATTTTTTCATATTTTCTTTCTTCTGTATTCATTTAAGTCTCTTAAGGCGTCATTACAACATACTTATATACCTGAACTGCTCTCCGGGGCGCCGTTACGTGATAAAAAGTCGCCATTTTTCGTTTATTGAGTTTGATACTTTCCCATTTCAAATGCTCGCAAAACTGCCAAAAATTAACCAAATGCCTTGACATTTTTTAAAAAGACGACAGAATTAGGACAATTTTCATCCTAATCTTATGTATTGAAAACTTTTATTGTGAATTAATTCTTATGTCTTCTCTAATATAACTCTGCTATTTTTACCGTGCACATTCAAGCAGAAAAAATCTTTATTTTTTAATATATATTATCAAAAACATTATGATTCACTTAGATATGATGAATAGACATTTACTGAAAATTTCAGCTTATTGCACCCATTACTTTTCGAGGAAAACGCTTTGTCCACAATTTTATGGGACAACCCTCGTAAGAATCTACACTACCACAAGATACTTCCATATAAGTTTCAGATTTTCTGGCACAGTAGTTCTTACTTAATAAGAAGATTTTTCCTATGTATTTCTATGTAAAACTTGGATTTCCTATTGCAGCCCTGCCCTATCCCTTAGGGTCATGATTTGAACAATTTAGAATTTAAACTACCCCAGGATGCTTCCATATAAGTTTCAGCTTTGTAAACCAAATGGTTCTTGACAAGGCCTAAAAAAATATATGTCTGTTTCTTGTAATCTGACCGACCCATTCAAATTACCCCCCAGTGGACTTTTTTTCTGACAAATGGCAAAACTTCATTTCATCAATCAGCTGATTCAAAAAAAGAAAATGAGCTTGTAGCTTAACTTGAGACATAAAATATGTCAACCTAGTTTACATTTACCTTAGTAAAGAGTTATCGTTATTATAACAACAATTTCCCCCTACAACTTTCTGAAGTTCGTTTTCTGCCGCTAGGCAGCCATTTTGGATGCCATGTTGGGTGTCCACTGTAAATATAAGAATTCCCAACCTACCGACCCTTAATTTTTTGGTAATGTTACAGGAATGAAACATATTTCTTTTTAAGCCTAAGAAGATTTTTAAAGATTTTGCCTATACATGTCAATGTAAAATTTGGATTCCATATAGTGGCCCCACCCTACCCCCAGAGGTTATGATTTGAACAATTTCAAATCTACACTATCCAAGGATGCTTCCACACAAGATTCAGCTTCTCTGGCCAAGTAGTTCTTAAGAAGATGACCTCACTCTATTTTTATCATTTATTGATTATCTCCCCTTGGTCCTTCATTGATAAAATTTAAACTCCTTTACCCAAGGATGCTTTGTACCATGTTTGGTTAAAATTGGTCTTGTAGTTCTTGAGAAAAAGTCGAAAATGTGAAAAGTTTACAGACAGACGGACGCCAGACAGATGACGGACAAAATGTGACCAGAAAAGCTGACTTGAGCCTTCAGTTCACTTGAGTCAGAAGAGCTCAAAATGTGAATTCTATACCCTGCAAGAACTTTATAGTGATCTTATAAAAAATAACATAAAAAAAAATGTACCTTATACCACACCAATATCCCATTTCTCACAGTTGAATCTCCCTGACATGTCTGTAAAGAAAATCAAAGGCTTCATTACATTTCAGCAGGAAGGTAAACATTTCATTAGCTACAGTAACTTGAATTTGAAAATAATATTTTCCCATATTTTTTATTTTCTCTGTGAATATTTGTTTACAAATATTTAACTTACGTATATATACATGAAATTACTTTATATAAATAAATTGGGCATTTTCTTAAAGTGAGTGAAACATGGAACCTGCATGATGGAGACATCTTCCATCAAACAGTCAGACAGCAAATCACTAGAAATAAATATTGTTATTGAAAAAGTTAAAAATAAATCTGTGTAAAAAACATTGTGATTGAAAAAGTTAAAAATAGATTTTTATTTGTAATGACTTTGCATACACCTCAAAATAAATTGTTATACCTTTAAAAATTTGTTCCTTATACAAATCTCTACGAAAAAAAACTCTTAACATTTTTAATCATGTTGATGTTTTGCTGAGCAGGCATAAAAAATCGATGTTGGACCGCTGAGTGAGATATTGGACCGCTCAGAGTGATGTTGGACCGCTTACATCACAGAATGGGCAGAGCTAAATCTCATTTTCATTCGTTGGTGTTAAAAAGGTGACAGACCTGATGTTACATTTTAGGAATGTTTTTAAGTTTAGTGTGAGTTATTAGTGTCTGAATCACACAGACTTGTCACGAAGGCATATTTAGGCATATACGCTAGCGCGCTTCATGAAAAATATGCCTACGTGCAAGTCTGTGTGATTCTCACACCAATAATTCACACAAAACTTAAAAACATTCCTTATATTCAAATTTTACATGTTTGGAAGCAACTTAAATAAACTCAATAATTGAATTTCTCCTTGCCCTATATTGTTGTATTTTTACTGATGTCGCTGCAGCCTCATTTTGACGTCACGTCAACACACGTTTCTCCGTGAGTATTTCTACGCTTGAGTATACATTAAAATGGTTTTCAAATCAATTTCACAGTTGGCTTAGGAGGAAAACACAGCGAATGTAAATATTAAGGAATATATATGGCACGCCAAATTCACAAAAATGAGATAATCATAGTTTCACAATTGATAAACTAGGTTTATCGACTGTAAACTATAGTTTACAAACCGTAAACTATAGTTAACGATTCGTTAAGTATAGTTTTCATCTGTAAAACTATATTTAACGGTTGTTAACTATAGTTTACGAATGATAATCTAAGTTTATCTGTCTGTAATCAAACGTTAACAATAGATTTTGTTGATAAACATAGATTCACGTCTGTAAACTATAATTTACGATCGTTAACTATAGTTAAGAGTTGTTAATCATAGTTTCACAAATCGTGAAACTATATTTATCAGATCGTTAACTATAGTTAACGGTTTGTAAACTATAGTTTACAAATCGTGAAACTGTATTTATCAGAAAATCTATATTTTGCAATCGCAAATGATTGTTTTCGGTGTTAAGTATAGTTTACAGTTGTGAAACATAGATTATCGTGTTAACTATGGTTTACAGATGTGAAATATAGATTAACGTTGTTAACTATAGTTTACAGTCCGTAAACTATAGTTTACAACCGATAAACCTAGTTTATCGATTCTGAAACTATGATTTGCTCATTTTTGTGAATTTGGCGTGCCATAAATATAGTACAAAATACATGTATGTCAAAAAATATAAAATAAAATGAAAGGTATAACAAAATATTAATTGACAGAGTTCTCGGGCATAATGTGTTTTGTCGACCCTCGAACCAAAGTGTCTGCCTTCGACCTAACGGCCTCAGCAGACAGTTTGGTTCTTGGGTCTGACAAAACGCATGTTGCCCTCAAACTCAGTCAATAAATGTATAATGTCATCTAAAGATGTACCTAATATACCACACTGATATCCTCTGTATACAGTTATATTGTCCCCCTCTCTAAAGGTGTACTGATATCCATCTCTTTGCAGTTAAATTGTCTTGTCTCTTTGATTTGTCTGTAAAGAAAAACAAAGGGTTTAATTGTTACTTTTCAGCATGAACATAAACATTTCTTTCATCATGTTTATTATCTATTTGTTAGATCGCAGCTATTGCAGAAAAAATTAACGAAGGTTATGTAATTTTTCTGCAACAGCTGCTTCCGTGCATTCCAGTAACAACAAACAACATGAACAAAGAAAGCATTTTATTGTTTAAATGACATATTCAGTTACTGAGTCTCCTGTATCATGTGTATTTGGTGATTTCTTCTTTTACACAGTCATACAGCAAATCACTAGGACTCTGTATAAAAAAGATTTATATTTGAGATGCAGGCTTTGCACAATACCAAGTACCTGGGTACATTTACCGGTGCATCGGTATTCAAGTATAACAAGAGGCCCCATGTACCACATTGCTTAACTGTGTTTCATTTTGCTTACACATGCACATGAAGGTAAACAGATCCCTAACTGCGGTCATCATATACCCTACAATCTTGAAAATAAGACGGATTTAATAATAAGCCAGTTTTGAAAATAAGCCACCTTTTTCTTGCATACAAAATTACTCGAAAATAAGCCAGTTTTGAAAATAAGCCGGTCACGAAATTGCTATATAAGATGTTTGACGATTTCCTCGTCTTAAAAATTTGACGAGTAAAGATGTTTTTTTTTTACTGTGCAAATAAAAAGTTATCTTTCTTTAATTCATTTAGCCTTTACCAATTACTGCATAGTACGAACTAGGTCTGTAGCTACTAATGAACGTATGTAAAATTACTAAGGGTGTTTATAAAGTTATTTTTTTTTACAAGTAATCATGTTACGCTGGTTAAAAAAAAACTTCATATGGTCCCAGCTAAAATGGTGAATATTTTTCATGAAATTGTCAGAGCAATAATAACCTATCTAAACCTGTACAAGCTAACGATGTGTTAAAATTTGCTATAATTGAATGAGTAAATGGATAAAAGGAAGTTTTTGTTTGTAAAGCATTTAACTGTCAGGTACTACTGCCCAAGGCAAGAAACCTGCTGATCGGCAGGGCTTGGTAGTAATTAAATTTCATTGTACCGTATAATTGAGTTTTTTAAATATGTGTAAAAATGTGTTTGTTTGATTAATTTATCAAGGGATTCAGTTGCAAGCAGATATCTTATTTATTAGGTCTTTCCACCTTTCTGTGGAAAGACCTATTGAAATTCTTCTGTTTATTATTATTCTTTTTTATTAGGTCTTTCCACCTTTCTGTGGAAAGACCTCTTGAAATGCTTCTGTTTATTATTATTATTTTTCCGTTATCGAAAATTGAACCGAAAGAGTTCTCGAAGAACTTTGCAGTTCATGATACTCGCCATTAAAAGTTATTTCGAAAAAATACCCAACGCGTATGACCTATGACCCCTATTGGGTTCCAGTGGGAGCCTCCACCATACTCACCTGTGCCAAAATTAAGGTACAGAAATGTTTTATTATGTTTATACATGTACATGTGCATATAAATATTTATTTTGTATGTTTGTAATTATCGGTTGGCACGGTTTTGTTTAAGATAAAAGGTTATATCATATAGCTCTTTGGAAACTTCTCTTGGACCTGGAGATTGACACAGGAATATTGATTTTGCAAGTACTTGTAAATTTTGTTAAGATGACGTGTTCTAATTTGCTCTTTCTTTGTGCAATTAAGAGTTGTTAATCATAGTTTCACAAATCGTGAAACTATATTTATCAGATCGTTAACTATAGTTAACGGTTTGTAAACTATAGTTTACAAATCGTGAAACTGTATTTATCAGAAAATCTATATTTTGCAATCGCAAATGATTGTTTTCGGTGTTAAGTATAGTTTACGGCTGTGAAACATAGATTATCGCGTTAACTATGGTTTACAGATGTGAAATATAGATTAACGTTGTTAACTATAGTTTACAGTCCGTAAACTATAGTTTACAACCGATAAACCTAGATTATCGATTCTGAAACTATGATTTGCTCATTTTTGTGAATTTGGCGTGCCATAAATATAGTACAAAATACATGTATGTCAAAAAATATAAAATAAAATGAAAGGTATAACAAAATATTAATTGACAGAGTTCTCGGGCATAATGTGTTTTGTCGACCCTCGAACCAAAGTGTCTGCCTTCGACCTAACGGCCTCAGCAGACAGTTTGGTTCTTGGGTCTGACAAAACGCATGTTGCCCTCAAACTCAGTCAATAAATGTATAATGTCATCTAAAGATGTACCTAATATACCACACTGATATCCTCTGTATACAGTTATATTGTCCCCCTCTCTAAAGGTGTACTGATATCCATCTCTTTGCAGTTAAATTGTCTTGTCTCTTTGATTTGTCTGTAAAGAAAAACAAAGGGTTTAATTGTTACTTTTCAGCATGAACATAAACATTTCTTTCATCATGTTTATTATCTATTTGTTAGATCGCAGCTATTGCAGAAAAAATTAACGAAGGTTATGTAATTTTTCTGCAACAGCTGCTTCCGTGCATTCCAGTAACAACAAACAACATGAACAAAGAAAGCATTTTATTGTTTAAATGACATATTCAGTTACTGAGTCTCCTGTATCATGTGTATTTGGTGATTTCTTCTTTTACACAGTCATACAGCAAATCACTAGGACTCTGTATAAAAAAGATTTATATTTGAGATGCAGGCTTTGCACAATACCAAGTACCTGGGTACATTTACCGGTGCATCGGTATTCAAGTATAACAAGAGGCCCCATGTACCACATTGCTTAACTGTGTTTCATTTTGCTTACACATGCACATGAAGGTAAACAGATCCCTAACTGCGGTCATCATATACCCTACAATCTTGAAAATAAGACGGATTTAATAATAAGCCAGTTTTGAAAATAAGCCACCTTTTTCTTGCATACAAAATTACTCGAAAATAAGCCAGTTTTGAAAATAAGCCGGTCACGAAATTGCTATATAAGATGTTTGACGATTTCCTCGTCTTAAAAATTTGACGAGTAAAGATGTTTTTTTTTTACTGTGCAAATAAAAAGTTATCTTTCTTTAATTCATTTAGCCTTTACCAATTACTGCATAGTACGAACTAGGTCTGTAGCTACTGTAAAGTTTGGTCATTTCAAGTCCCCATGTTTTATTTGTATTTAAATTACAAATCTTTGGCATATTAATCTAAGACTTTATATTGTTCATAATTTGAGTAATTTGATCGTATGTATTGTACATTTATTATGTGAGGTTCTAAAATTAGATTCGCAACTTTTTATGTCATCGTATGCAAAGTGAAAGTAGAACGAGTACATGTAATACATGCATATCCTTTTGTATTTATTGATGTTCTTGTTGAAATAATTGTATAAATGTTGTTAAAAGAGTATGGACCACTAGATGTTTTGTTTAAATTACGTTTTTCACTGGTATTTTACCTGTATTGTGCAGACATGTGTTGTAGACTTGCAGACAGCCTATTTTTCTATTTACATGGCGGCGCATTGCATTATGGTATACTTCCGGTTTATTTTTACTCTTGATCCGCGGTGTATATTTATACGCCCTGGAGTTTTGTATAGAAGTGAAAATGTACAGTTATAAGGTAATTAATTAATTAATTATTGTTGAATGAATGAAAGTCAAGTTATTTTATGGTGAAATAATTATTATTGTTCTAATTATCTGAATGGAACTATTTTCCGTATAAGATTTTCCGTATTTTTCGTATATTCCGTAAGAATTTATACGAATTCGTAAGAGTTTATACGAATTCGTAAGAGTTTTGTATACGAATTTTCTCTAGAGTATAAAAGGGGAGATTCTTCCGTAAATCGGGGAGTCTGCTATTTTTGATGTTAGGGTTAACATAATTATTTTGGGCTTTTAGACAAAATTGGTAATTATTTGCTAATTGTTAAATCAGTTAATTGTAATTCGGTAATTGGTTTAATTTAATTGGGGAAAAGTTTAGTTTTAACAGCTTTGGGGATTTATTTACGATCATATATCTTGATTATTTCAGGATCCGATCGTATCTGAACTTCCAGTTGTTAATAATCTTTTATTCATTGATAATTAAGTTTAATAGATAGGTTTCAGCCATATATTTCGATTATTTCGAGATCCGGCTGTTTATTAGAATTTATTTAATATTGTGAAATTTTTCAGTAAAAAGGGTGGTTAAAAGGCCTGGATATTATATTTTTTTTGTATTAAAATTTTTCATGTTGGTTTTGCAGACTCAATAAATCTATAAAACTTAAATTTCGAATTTAGTGTTTTGACTCAGTGTTTAAAAAGGGAGTTTACTCCTGTCTTCTAGAACCACTATAGCAATACTTAAATGAGATAGCCATTGAGCGCTTTCTCGCTACAATTTTTGGTGTCAGAAGTGGGATAGCCATTGAGCGCTATCCCGTTACACTACTAATGAACGTATGTAAAATTACTAAGGGTGTTTATAAAGTTATTTTTTTTTACAAGTAATCATGTTACGCTGGTTAAAAAAAAACTTCATATGGTCCCAGCTAAAATGGTGAATATTTTTCATGAAATTGTCAGAGCAATAATAACCTATCTAAACCTGTACAAGCTAACGATGTGTTAAAATTTGCTATAATTGAATGAGTAAATGGATAAAAGGAAGTTTTTGTTTGTAAAGCATTTAACTGTCAGGTACTACTGCCCAAGGCAAGAAACCTGCTGATCGGCAGGGCTTGGTAGTAATTAAATTTCATTGTACCGTATAATTGAGTTTTTTAAATATGTGTAAAAATGTGTTTGTTTGATTAATTTATCAAGGGATTCAGTTGCAAGCAGATATCTTATTTATTAGGTCTTTCCACCTTTCTGTGGAAAGACCTATTGAAATTCTTCTGTTTATTATTATTCTTTTTTATTAGGTCTTTCCACCTTTCTGTGGAAAGACCTCTTGAAATGCTTCTGTTTATTATTATTATTTTTCCGTTATCGAAAATTGAACCGAAAGAGTTCTCGAAGAACTTTGCAGTTCATGA